AGATTAAGGTAAATAATTTGATTGCTGATGACCATGTAGACACAGTCAATGTGCACAAGCTCTAAGCATTTGAAGATCATTAGAAGATCTGTTCCCAAGAGGCACAATTAGCCTTGAGACACATGGGCATTGGCTGGATGGACAAACAAGCTTTTAAAGTTGTTTATAAAGATTTTATTTTGAATCAACTGCCATTAAATCTGTTCATGGCGACCAAGGGGACTTGACCACCAATAAGATTTATGCTTTTTGGTCATGTGCCTCATCAATGCTAATGCTGTTAAGTAAAACTATGATTAATTAGCCCCCACGCTAACTTGTCTAGGTGTTTTTCTATGTATCTGCAATGTAATGAGCACTTGAAAAAGGATGTCCACCAGTAACAGTTGACGTATCTGAGGACAGTTTAATAATGGTGGACATTGATCTTGGCAGCAGGCTGTAGTGCAGATTGTCTAGCAATAAACATGACAATCCTCACATTCAGCAGGAAATAAGGCGTGATCATATCTGTCTTTAAAAATCATTTTGCTGTTTATGGCTTTTAAAGCCAAGAGCCTGTCCAGGAGGCCATAACAATTTATTAGTTTAAAGGCCACCAATTATGCAAAATCAAGCTCCGCTGTCATATTAGAGTGATAAACACAACAAGTCTCTTTTTTACATTTTCTTGGGGTCTACATAGAATCCAAATCCCAGAGATTTTAAGGCCTATTGCAACGTGAGGAAGCAGTGCAGTTTTCCCGCCCATTGATACTGCTTGACATGCGTGTATTTCCATGACGCCGTATAACGTGTATAATCAAGATAAGATTTGCGAAGAAACTGGGATTAAAAAATCAGTTCTAACTCTCTGTGTAAGTGGTACAGTTTGTGATCTTATAGCATTTATACAAATAGCAACTATACTTTATGAGCTACGTAATTCACAACTGCTGGAATCACAAGCTGTGGTGATTACGGGCGTGGAATGTGTCACACCTTTAGTGGCCCTTTTTTTGGTAAGCAGAACTGGTGCTGCAAGATCAGGGGTGGGCCAAGTCAGAGCACTCACTCTGATCCCCTGGGCTCTGCGATTGGTTTGGGAAATTCCAAATTGAACCGAAACAAACCATTATAACTGGCTTAAGATTAGCAATCAAAATTTGGGACATTGCAACCTGCAGAACCTGAAAAAAAGAAAAAAAAAAGAGAACTGGTGCTGTGGGATGAACCGAACACTGGATTAAGGCACCCAATGCCGACGCTCATCAGACCCCATAAAAGGTGTTGGTTACAATAGACAGCAGGACTTTGGCCATAAAAGTCAGCACCCGCCACAGAGTGTGTAACAACTCACCTGCCAAATCAACTAGATCTAAAAATGGATGGCACTGCACTCCCTTAGGACCGGCTCACCCATGTTCAACTGGTGTTCACATGGAATGCTTCTTCACTGAGGCCTTCAGAGCTCTCGTTTCAATATTTGCTACTACAACTAAGAACTGCCCCTGCGGCGGCTCCATCTGGGCCAACACCCTGGGCTTCAGTACCACCTCTTACTCGTCGGGGCATGCCATCTGGAGCTGTTCGGCCCCTCTTCCTCCTTCGGTCGATGGCTTATGGGCCCGATGCTCCAATGCCATTCATTTTCTGGGTTAGTTGATTTGGCAGGTGAGTTAATACACACTCCTTGTCGGGTGCCAACTTCCAGTGCGAAAGTCCTGCTGTCTATATCAACCAACACCTTTTATGAAGTCTGATGAGCAGCGATGTCAGAAACCTTAACCTGGCATTTGGTTCATCCCTCAGCAGCAGTTCTGCTTACCAAAAAGGGTCCACTAGGTACGTCACATTCCACACCCTGAATCACCACAGCTGCATAGTGTACGCAACCATAATCGAGAACGCTTCGATCACACAAAAAGAGTCCCAGTTTGTCGACATTGAATCAGGATTATTTTGTACAGTATCTTAGCTATACTGATCGCATTACATTTATGTTAACATATGTTTGGTGACCATTCTGTCACAATTACTGAGAGTAGATAAGCAAAAACTGCTCAACTCGTGTGTTTCTCATTCATCTTACTGTAGTATTTATGACTGTGGGACTCTGTTTTATCGTGTCTGAGTCCTGTTTGTCGTTTTTCTGTGTTTATCCTGATATCAGAACCTGGTTAACCTTCTCTGAAGAAAAATGTTCAAAGAGTGGTCAGGGAGAACCTACTTTGAGTGGGTGGGGAGAACCGGCTTATTTTCATTTAAAGGCACAGGCAATAAAACAGCCATAGTTCCCTCTAATATTTACATTATGTATTTTGACTTGAAATAGAGATCTGCGCGGGACTAAATTTTGAATCCTGCTCCCGCCCGCACCCGCCAGGTTTTAGCCCGAACCCGACCACTCCCGCTTATATTAAGAATTTGTTGTCCCGCTGCCCGACCCGCCCCGTTTTCTGCCCGCCGCGCCCGATCCCGCTAAACAAAACCGAAAATCACCCAGCTATACAGTCCAGACAGCCAAGCTGTCTGTATAAACTCACACACACAGACAAAGCTCTCTCTCTCTCTCATACGCGCGCACGTGCACTAACACACACACAAGCACCAAGCAGACACACAAGCGTTTGCTGTTATATCAACTCAAAGGCTTGTAATACCATGTATCAAGTACCAATGTAATACCAAAAGGTTTTATATAAAGGTATATAAAATCTGAGTCGCGCCAGCTCCAGGTCGCAGCGCACATTACTCTCGGGAATCGGGCAGTGAGTCCACAAGCATCCGGCCCGAGTCCGGCAGCCAGAGCCGGGCCAAGTGGTAAGTCTCCGGCAGGCGAGAATCTAGCCGGAACTGGCCCGAGTGTATTTTACTATCTGGGAAAGCTCTCTCTCTCTCTCATTCGCGTGCACGCGCACTAACATACACACACACAAGCACCAAGCACACACACAGGCAAAGCTCTCTCTCTCTCTCATTCGCATAGCAATATCCGCGATATTGCTAGACAGCCCGCTCCCGTCCCAAATTAAACTCGTTACCGACCACTTCCGCGATTTATTCTGAAATTTATTTAATGCAGACCTCTAGCTTGAAACTTCATAGACACATTTTGGAGACACAAAAGACTAATTTTACATCTTATAAAGATACCAAAAGTGGAGCCCTTTTATTGAGACATTACTGGACTGGAGTTTGGACACTTAATGGTAATTACTGTTCAGTAAGGCATGATGCCTTATATTTTTGCAAACACCCAAATCCTGTTTTTAGCTGTCAAACAATTAAATGGGCAAAAGATATCCCATTTGCAACACAGGCTGATTGGAAATATGTGCTTCAGCCTACTTTTTTTTGAAAACACAAAAATGTATGTTTGACTGCAACTTCTGGGAAAATGAACATTGCAGGGTGCTGCGAATGCCAAACCTGGTCTTTTCTCATGCCAACTGAGGGATCAGTCATCTGAGTTTTAGGGCGCACTCACACTATGCTATCAGAACCGTGCCCAGGCGCATTTCTCTGTTCGTTTGAGAAGTGTAAGTGCTCTGAATCAGGTTCAGGTGCGGTTCAGTTGGCTGGCCCTAGCCCGGTTAGAAGAGGTGTACCAGAGTGTGGTTCACTTGGGCTTTAGCATGGTACACTTGTAGTGTGAGTGCAAAACGCGCCTGAGCCCGAAACTGAAAAGGAGACGTGATTTTTCAAGGACTGTTTCATATGGATTTAATAATCATTCTTACTGTTCAATGAACACAAACAGTCGTAGTTTATCAAAGACGCAAACCCCTCACTGCACGACAGCTGCACCTTCAGCAAACCTCCTAATTCCTGCAGCACGAGGACTTTATGAATATTTATGAACATCAAAAGTGGCTGATCTGTTCAGCAAATTATTTGACAGCGTGTCACTGCATATCAAACGATTTTAATGATATAACTAAAGAAATCTCCACTGTGCTGAGCGAGAGCGATTCTCTACTGTTAAACTGAACAGCGTATCATCAATGATGTAAGCGTGCTTCGGCTCAGATGCAATGTGAGTGCAGGCTGTCGGGTCAGACAGGGAGGAGGAACAAGCGTGCTTCGGCGTGGTTCAAGGCAACTGTACATAGTGTGAGTACGTTTAGTCTGGAAATATTTGGACCACATATCCCACCATCCCTGGGACTGATTACTTCACAGCTGATTTTATTCAATGTTTGTATTAATAGCCCAGTCTTTCTACAGCTCAGTGCAAAGTTTTGATTTGCCCTAGCCATCAACTCTGAGTGTTTTCTTTGTACTGGTTGCCTACCTGTGTATTGACTGGACTGTTTCTGTTCTCTGATAGTTTGCTGCCTTCCTCGACACTGCCCTGTTTATCTACCATGATTGTTTGCTGCCTGCCCTGAACCCAGCCTCTCTGTGATTACTCTCTTGGATCTCCCTACTTCCCCAATCAGTTTATCTATATCTTTGCTTAACGGGACAGTATGACGCCAACAAAATCAGTTCCTTTCAAACAAATGATATTTAAAGAGACATATCAACAGATAAATGACTATTTTGTGGTGATTTCATAGCGCGACATTAAATAAGTAACACAAAACAATTTAACGGTGTCTAAGATTTTTAACCGAATACATTTGCCTCACCTTTCTATCTCAAAACTGTTCTGCTGGGGTCAGTTTGCTTGATAGCTCAATTTGTATGTTGCTGTACTAAAAAATGCACAGTTCAAGTCCAGTGAAGCACAGTTCAAGGTGAAATTATGATCGTAGAGCACTTTTCTTTTACGCTTGCATTTGAAAACACTACTATATTAACACCCTGTATGAGTAGCTTGAGCCTGGGATGCCAATTTACTGCCATTTCAAAACTCGAATATCACTTATTCCTACTCAGCACTTTATTGTTTCATCAAGAACATCGTAAAGTGTTGATCCAAAATTTGGTTCATACCTTCAAACCACTCATAACCCTTAAATTAAGTTCTTCCAAACAAATCTTTCACATTAATAAACACTACATGATCTTACTGTGGGCTGTGTTCCAATAGCAGCCTTAGCGAGGGTAAGTCCCCTTTAGCGGCAGCATAATGAACAGGCAACGCCCCCGTATCCGTGGCAACAGTAGGATCCCCCTCCTCACTTTTGAGCAACCAATCGATGATCTCATGATGGCTGAATCGAGACGCCAGATGCAGGACAGTCGCCCCAGAGCTGTCCTTATCCTGTAAACAACATAAAGAATAATTAATATGCAAGGAATGATTGACAACAGACCACTGAATAATTACAAATGGATCCACTCCCAAGGTGGTGATGCAGCCACAATGTAAAGATTATACATTAGTTGTACACCAAAACATTTTGTTGTTGCTGTTTGTTCAAACTACTTATTTAGAATGCGCTGAAACAAGACTATTTTTGAGTTTGATTGGCACAACGTAATTATTTTAGGTTCAATCCACTTAAATTTGTAAAAACTAATGTTAACTGAATTCCTTCTAGTTGTCCCAACTAGGGATACACGATATATCGGTGGCCATATCGTTATCGGCCGATAAATGCTATGTTTAAGGTTATCGTTATCGGTCCGATGTCAAAATTAGGCTGATATCTTTAAGCTGATAAATTACGTAATTGTACACAACTATCTGCCTTGTGCATGCGTGGGCGGAACATGTGCAGACTTGACTATAATGGAGCTTACCTCACATAGTTTATGCCTTCAAAGTCCATCCTTTCTTTGTGTGGTATTGCTGGGCACTAATATCTCAGTAAGTAACCATGTTCCTTATCATTGACGATATGTTTCATAGAGTGCCATTGTGTATTTTGTTTTAAATCGCCTCAGGAAAAATATTACATGTGTAAACACAACAGCAACGATGCACACATGCTAAACAACTCGTTGGGTTGTTTGTAATCCAATATGATTATTTGTTCTTATCAGCGTGTTGCTTGCGATGTGTTGTTGATGTAAGATTGTATTCAGTTTGATAGGCATATTTATAATGATTATAACGAGTGCATGTGATGGCAATTACCATGCGCACACACATAGTGAGCCAACAGAGCCGCTCTTCACAGCAGCAGAGGGGAGAGGTGTGCCAGACACTGATTCCAGCATAGGGGTTCTCAACCCCCTGTCACTGTCACGATTACCAGCGATCGTACTTCATAAGATCGCTGGATCTCACTCACATAACCATGGACTACAAATCCGCCTTGTAGTCAGATCCGCCGCTTACAGACACACATGCTTCCTCATTTAGACTGATTACACTCGCACCACCTGAGGATTGTCAACGACTGATTACACACACTATTTAAGCAACACACTCACTCATTAACACTGCAGAGTCTTGTTAGCTGTAAAGTGACATTACAACGCGTTATCCTTGTCTTGTTTTCCTGTGTTTAGACCTTAGCCTTGTTAGCCTCTTGTCCTAGTCTGTCGCCTGCCTTACGACCTCTCGCCTGTTATTTGACTACGATTCTGGACTGCATCTATACATCTGTTTGCACCTGTGTTGACCATTGCTTGCCTGACTCTTAATAAACCTGCACATGGATCCTACTTCTGTTGTCAGTGTCACCCCCCGTGTTACAGTCACATTCTGTCTTTATATTATGCAGTGTTTTTCATAAAGTCATCTGTGCTCAATTCTTAGGTGTTGCATCAAAATCTGACTCTGAGGGCAAATCTGACTCGGCTTTGTCACACACATCGATATGAGTTTCAAACTCATATCGGTTTATAATAAACTTTTTATCTATAATTTCCCACAATTGACAGCAAGAACAAGCAAAGAAGCGTTGTCTGATTGACAAGCAGCACCTACATGTGTTCAAAAGAATCTAAGACGAATTTATGCTGCATTTTCTAAAGTAATACAATCTGTATTCAGCTTTTCGCTTCTACGATGGCTCTGAACTGTGAAAACACCTCTTAAAACGCCTTTTCGGACATTACATATTTGTACATATGTACATTTGAGCTGGTTTCAGTTCTTAGTTCTTTCATTTTTACTTAGGACATATTTATTAAACTTGTTTGTTAATTAGGTGCCATTTTGTTTTTTAACTAATTATTTATACAACAGTCAAGTTGCATTTTGTTAATTTGCTATGAAGAGAAGAAAATCGTTTATTTTTGGCATGCTGTAAAATCATGAATCTAGGTCTATATAATCACCTTGCAATTTTGAAATTATAGCTTTTTTGCTTTGAGTAAGCTATTCAGTTCATAAGAGCAGTTCAAACTTTTATGACGTTTTAAAATTAATATCAGTTGTACACTGTATAAAAATATAACATTTTGAAATATTTATAATTATCGGCTATAGTATATTGGCTCTCTGCCTTCAAATCTTAAGAGTTATCAGTTCTCAATATCGGCCAAAAAATCCATATCAGTGCATCCCTAGACCCGACACAAATCGATAGTGTGGAAGCCAGCATTTTTATATTCAAAACCACTTTTTTACTAATCCCTATGAAGTGCATGGACAATCAACGTAAATTACTAGCTGAGTTGAGTAGACTTTATCAGAAATAGTTTACAAAACAGAAAACGGCCATAAATAAGGTCCACTGTTAACCCTTGCTGTAGATTATTCATTCATTCATTTTCCTTTGGCTTAGTCCCTTTATTCATTAATGATCGCAACAACGGAATGAACTGCCTGCTGTAGATTATGCGGTAAATAACTAAAATAGCCAGTGTTTTGCTGTAATAAAAGGAAACAGTATTTAACTGTAAAACAAGTAGGATTTGTATAAAATTGTGTAGCGCAAAAAATAAAGTAATTGATTTTATGTAATCATTACAGGTAGTAACTCTGGCAATAAAAGGTAAATTACTGTTAAACAATTACTGTCCCATATACTCTGATGCTTTATGTTGCTATTTATAGAGAAGTGCATTTATCTTAAGGCAGAAAACAAAGATTTAGGTATTAACACACACATACACAGGCTGTCTATCTTATTCTAAAGTGTTGCCCCTTTTAGTTGGTATAATTTGCATCTTATTATTAATATTTTTGTTGGTCCGTTATCTGCTAGCGAATGTCTCAATTTTATTTTATTTATTTATTTATTTATTTATTTATTTATTTATTTATTTATTTATTTATTTTATATATATAAGAGCAAAAACAACACACACACACACACACACACATGTTTGTTTTTGTGAAAAGTGGGGACATTACATAGGTTTCCATTCATTTTATACAGTCCAAACCGTATATTGTATTGCCCCCACCCCACCCCACCCCTAAACCCAACCATCACAGGAGACTGTGTGCAGCTTTACTCTCTGATTAAACTCATTCTGTAGGATTTATAAGCATTTTGAGAAATGAGGACGTCACCAATGTCCTCATATTTCACCTCATTTTTGTAATACCTGTGTCATATCATTATACAGATTTGTGTCCTGATTTGTCACAAAAACATGTACACACAAACACACACACAGATACAATATACACACACAATATATATATATATATATATATATAAACAATATATAGAAACAATAGCTATTGTATTTTTTAGTGCTGAAAAACGGCCACCAAAACTAAAGCCAATCTATTTCTTTACCCATCTCCCACCATGCAAGTACATACACACCTTAAAACACACAAACGTGTATTTATTTTCATTCTTTCCTGCTTTGTCAATATATCGTAGTGTATACTGTGTAAATATTATATTTAAAATAAATAAATAAAAAAGCTGCATTAATTTGTGTTCTCTCATAGTAGATACGCACAGTGCGTACAGCCCTACTGCTGCAGGCATCACTGTCCCAAGTGAGTTCAACAGAGCAACAGGGCCCTCGGGGACCGAGTTTGGACACCCCTGGTATAAAGGGTTTCTTAAATAAGTGCAAAAATTCGGTTATTTGTTTTGTATTATGTCAATACTTGCATTATTCAAGAACAAAAAATAATAAAGCCTGGGCGATTTACGCTATGAGACGATATTCACATTATATAATGTTTTTCAGTACATGCACTGATCCAGATTCTCATGCTGGATCAAGTTTAACTGGTCAAAGTTTATTATGTTGTCATTCAGCTTGCAGTGCAGGTATGAAACACAATAATGTAACGTGAAGCCCTGCTGTAGACGTCCCGCTCCCCATTGATGGCAGAGATAACTTCCACTACTGCATGTGCATAGAAGGGAAAAAAAGAACAACAGCAGGAGCTCTGGTTTCCTTTTCATTACGCCGACTGCATTTTTAACATTTTATTGAAGTGGCTAGGTACCACTAGACCTAATGATTGGGCTAACAAACACTATTAGAGTTACTTGTACATGCAAACTGTAAACAATGTCTGTTAATTAAAAGTTTCCAAATTTTAACATGATTTCCGTTTATTTACGGTTGTAAATTGCATTATGGGATCTCAGCTGTCGACTTTTGATGTTGAAAATTCAACTCTAGAGTTTAAGAAAAGTGACATTTTAGTACTTTAAAATAATATCAAGTATAAGAAATAATAAATAAAGAAATAAATCTGTAAAGTAACAGAAACTGAAAGGTTATTTTAAGGTTTTTGTACTGTAATATACAACACCAACCCAGACAATATATCACTTTAACCTTTTAGAAATGTTAATTAAAGTCACTTATTTCATTGTTTTTAGGTTAAAAGTTGTCAGAAGAAAGATCAAGATCTCATAATGCGATTCGAAAGCATAAATAAAGGTGGAAAATTAAAACATGAATCACAAAATATGGAAAACTGCTAATTTACAGATATTTTTTACAGTGTCTTTTCATTTGTAAAAACTATTTCATCTAAACTGACCAAAACATTCAACAACTAAATGAACGAAGGAACTGTGTTGTATTTTTTCATCATAGACTCAAATAATGTACACTTGCTGTCCATCCCAGTTGTAATCATCAGTTGAGCTGCATCCCAATCTAGACAAATACTGCAGAAGACTACTGGAACCCACATGGAGCTAATATTTTCAAGAAATCGGTCAAGTTTGGTGAAGGAAAAATCGTGGTTTGGGGTTACATTCAGTATAGGGGAGTGCGAGAGATCTGCAGAGTGGATGGCAACACAGGTATCAAGACATTTGTGCTGCCCATTACATTACAAACCACATAAGAGGGCAAATTCTTCAGCGCACCTTCTCATACTTCAGCCTTCATATCAAAGTTCCTGAAAGCAAAGAGGGTCAAGGTGCTTCG